TCTTCATCTATGTGGTTCCTAATCTTCTATTCGTTGTTCCCTAGTTTGAAGTGGTTAAGACTAGGGTTCTGATGCATGGTCACTATCGGTGTCATCCTTTAATTTTGTTGCTAAGGAATTCAATTTTGACTTACAAAGGGGTGCGCCTTTGGAGGGTGTTCCAACACTCCAAAGGGTATAAATAGCGGGACCTTTCAATTAGAATCGATTCCTTGCGATGAAGGCAAGAATGACAACTGTATCTAAACCGAATACTTCATCATTTCTCAATAGTGATAGAGTAATACGACAAGGACACGGGATACACTACAACAGATCAAATTACTGGTCGCAGTGGTGTAACGTCCCAGACAGAAAAAAATACATCTTCCTAATAAGCTTCAAAATTGCATTTGTTTTAATCAGATTTTAAATTCAGTCTTCCACATCCGTAAAACGTTCGCGAGGCTCAAACCTTAGTAGATAACTTTTTTTTTAATCTACTACTATTAAATCAAATATTAAAATCCATCATTACCATCGTGACGAACAAAAATAATTTTTGCAGTGCAACTGCAGTGACAACTATTCATACAAAATAATCCGTTAGAAATAACTTTGTCAAGATACATAATTTGCCAATACATAAAAAAATCACTGGATAACTGTTCCAAAGACAGTTTTAACGTATGAAATGCAGTGTCTTTTAAATTATGTAAGTGTTGCTGAACGTTTGATATGTCTAGGCATCGAATTGAAAACATTTATTCCTTTAAAATATAATGTATTTTGTGAAGCACAAGTCAAGAAATGTGGTGTTCTTATTTCAACCGCGTTTCTAGTATTATATCTATGAAAGTCCCTTCCTCTTTCAATTCGATCACACAAATATCGAGGCAGCAAACCGTTAACTACTTTAAAAATGAACACCATAGTCAAATATACAAATCTTTGCTTCACCGACAACCTTTGTAAGTTGTCTAGCATCAAAATTGAGGAAGTGAATGTATTATATCTCAATATCAAACGCATTATTTTATTCTGCAAGCGGCTGTAATATCGATATTTGTGTTGCATTGGCCAGAAATAAAATGGAAGGGCAAAATTCTAGATGATGAGAGATGATTGATTTGCATAGCTGTATTTTACTGACACTAGTTGAATCGTTTTTCAGTCGACATATAATTCCATACTTCTTGGCAATTTTCTTGATGACATTGTCAATGTGAGAGTTGAACTTAAGTTTGTCATCAATAATCGCGAAAAGATATTTAATCTCCCGAACGTGATCTCATTCAATCGATTCCGCGAAATTACAATAAATTTAGTTTTACTTGTATTCAATTTCAACTGCTTATACTTCAACCATCTACTTAGAGAATGCAAATCTTCATTCAAGTGTAAAACGGCATCATATAAATCCTTAGCTGCAATGAATAACACAGTATCTGCAAAAAGATTAATGCCGCAAAATCGCAAAACACGTCGCAAGTCATTAGTATACATAATAAATAACAGGGGCCCTAATACACTTCCCTTGGGCACTCCAAGGTTATTCCCCACGGTACTGGAAACAGAATCATTAAAAACAGTCCGTTGAGTTCTGTCAGACAAATAGCTTTCAAACCATTTATATGCAGTACCGTAAACGGGGTAACATGGATAGTTTTTTAAAGTTAATTCTAAATAATGTTTACGGCAATCAATGTTTTTCAAATTTTATATTTTTAGAACAAGTACTGAGGATCCAAGAGTCAATTCGTTAGTAATATATTTAACGAAAATTAAAGCATATGCACTATTTTTTTTAGTTGTGTGACCGATCTTCAGCATTTTGATTTGGAGTTACTTTGGAAATGCTCGATGAATGTAGAAAAAATGGGTGAAATTCAAACAATTTAGTTCTTAAAATATGAATCATTGAATGACTATATAATCAGAAAACCTCATAAGCAATAAGAATACAACATTGAATTTTTTATGGCTCTACCAGAAATACTTTTCATAAGTGAGGTTTGAGTGCTTTTTCAAACGGACGAAAACACGATTTTTTTTTAATATGTTTCACATACTATATAAAAACTATATACGATATCAACGGAAACAGTCTAAGCTACAATATGGATCCAATGTTTCTAATTTGGGAAAAGCGCAGCGAGTAAATTTAATCTTTATATTAAAGTTATCCGCATTATCAAAGATACCACGTCTTACACTACTCGTGTGAGGACCTACACAGCAAACAATTAATTTTGATATCACATCAAAGTGGCTGCACTTCAATCGTGTTAAAAATGTGGTGTTATACCTCGATGAACATTTTAAATGGTCCTATCTGCTTTGATCGATTCTTTTTATGGACTTTCTCTTTTGATAACCACTGCTATGCAAACATATTTCGTGCTATTTTAACCACATATTTTGATAAAGGAGGTTTTTATCTATCGTCCAAAACGTCAAAAATAAAAGGAAAATGTTTTGCTTCTGAGTTATTAACGAAATAAAAAGTCGATGAAGAGAATCAATCAATGCAGATAGGACCTTTTGAAATGTTTTTCTAGATATAACGTGCCAAAAAAGACTAAATTATCATAAATACAGTACATGAACTGACATTACACTGCTGGTCACAAACATAAACTAATGCAGTAATAGTTTATTTTTGTGACCATAAAAATAACATGAGATTTTCGACATAATTGAAGTGCATCCTCTTGGATGGAATATCAAAAATTATTTTTTACTATGTAGAAATTGTTTCAAAAACGCGTTTAAGATCAAAAAACAGCAACAATCGTATCTTTACACTCCAAGTTATTTGTCCACTCCTCTAATACCAAATTCAACGCGGTTTCACAAGAATAACCTTTCCGATATCCCGATTGTTCTGCTATTAACAAACTATTACTATTTAAATACTCCAACAGCTGGCCTTTAACGACAAGTTCTAAAAAAATTTCTATGTTACCGGCCACAAATGGAAAATCCACGCTCCTCTCAACAAGATTTGAAACTGCTTGCTTCGAATATTTCCTCCAGCACTTCAATTTTACAAAATTATCGTTATCGTTAACATGGTCTAAGAGATTAATCATGATCGGTTATTTTCAAATCAGTATCCGTAACTGAACAAATAGAATCAAAATTGGAATAAATGTGGTCAATTAAAGTTCTACTGTACCTGGAAATATGCCTATACTCATTTATCGTTTGCTTTAAATATAAAAAAAAAACTCAGCGTTTAGTTCAAATGATTCGAATTATGGTTATCACGCCAATTAATATTAAAGTCACCAGCCAATATATTTAATTTACTAGAATCAAGGAATGTCTCAAACCAGTTCTCTAAAACTTCAACAAAACGCTGGTCACTAGAACTGAGAGAATGATACAAAACACCATAATTACCCATCTTCATGCCACGTACAACTGTAATGCCCAAGAACCAGTTGCCATCAATAACTTCGTTGGTACGAAGGTTAAATTGAACTGATTCTTTGACATAAATAGCAACACCGCCAGTGTGTCTAGAATGTGATAAACAAGCAGCAACAATATATCCCGCAATACTATACTGATCAAAAGCTTCGTTTTCTACAATATGAGTTTCAGATAATAAAACTAGACGAGGACGTTTTTCTTCAACAATCTGACGTAATACTACGTTACTTTGTTGACAACCCCGCAATATTAAAATAAAAAAAAATGAACATGGGGAAAAATTAAGAAAATTGTACACATGTTAGGGACTGTCCAAAAACTACGTAGACAGTTTAGGGGGGGGGGGGGGTTGACAATTATCCACGGACCATACAAAGGCCCTTAGAAGTGTACGAGTAAACATACTAAAACCACAATCAGTTTTCCTCGGAAAAGCGTCGGAAAATTTACTCATTCTATGAGTGACCTACGTTTTAGCGATTATGAGTAATCTGATCTCAAATATGAGTAACTCTTACTCAATTTGAGTCGTTCTCATTAGCCGTGTATGAGGAATTTGTTTAGAAAAGTATGTCAAGTGCTTGTTGGTGTAGTCGTATGGCAAAGTGTTACAACCCTTGTATTAAGAATAATAAAAGTACGCTATCCACCCCTACATAGTATTAAAAAAGCAATCTGTTGAATTACTTAACATTTTAATGGGCCCTAGGAATTCTTTCATTTATTGAGCAATGGATAGCTTTCATTTATTAATATGTCGATAGCGATATGCTTGTATTACTCTGATACATATTTGAATGTACACTCATTGTAGTCATATAAGTTTTTGTTTATGTATTTGAAGATGTATTTCAGATATACGTAGAATCCCGCACAACTTGGAGCTGTGAGATATTATAAAAATAGCTCAAATATCAACGTATCAAGAGCTCAAATATCAACGTCACTCATTCACCTTTATGCCTAAATCTGATCCAAATGATTCATTCCTGTGTGCTAGATCAAGAAAGTGCGAATAAACGTCAAAAAACTAAATGATAACCGCTGCACCACACACAAACTTTAATTTGCATTTACCTAAAAGCATTGCATTTTACCGAAAAGATGCTAGGGATTTCTTATCGCCGTGACATAAATTTATTCGGCGGCGTGAAAAATTTTACTGCGGCGGCGGCGGCGTATGAAAATCGTCGGCGGCGGTGGCGTGGCGCGGCGGCGCACAGGTCTTATTCAAAGAGCAGAACTGTAACTTGACCTGTGGACGATTGAATTTCAGGATGGGACTGATCAGGCTGACAAATCAGAACTTCAATCATTTTTTAGACAGATCCACCTTAATAATTTAATTTAAAATACATCTCATCCATAATCTTATGCGTCATAATTCAAAAAGGCTATGTCTTCATTAACGGTTCTCCCAAAATACTCGACAAATATATTTACAATGGGCTGTAATAAACCCACAAAGCTTTCTGTAGCTCTTAAAGTCTTAACCAAAATGCATTATGGTAGAAAGCAATATAACAATATAAGTTACGACTCCTCAAAAGAATAGCTAAGAACATCTCAATAATACTCACGGATAATAAAACTTAAGTCGACACGGTGCCCCATTTTGAACATTAATTATTCATCTACAGCCACCGTCCAAGAACTTCTTTTTCCACTAAATCCACTGATTGCCGTTGATGGCTTTTCCTCTGATGCTGCTGTTAATTCTTCTTGTTGTTCTTCTCCGTCAGGCCTTAAACCGACCAGTCACAATCGTTGTGTAGTCGTTCTTGATAGTCACACCCGTTAATTCCTGATTGTCCGATAGAACAAATGCACCAATCTTGCTCTCTCATTAGTATTTGTCAACAATGTTTCACCTGATGGGATGATGTGTTTATCGCTCTCACTAAATCAAAAGAAACAGAAGGAGGGAATTGCTAGCACGTCTCACTCGAGTGGTTCGTTTTTTTTTGTTTTTCCTCCTAATGGGAACCGCTTCAACACCAGCACAATTAATTTCCACTGCCCAACCAACGTTTAGAACTTGGCTCGGCAGAAGAAATGGAAAGTAAGTAGAGAGAAAATTGCACGCAGAACACCGTAAATTGAAATTAAACTTTTGATTAACACTTTTCAACGACAAATGATGAACATGCGCGTTTAGAGCGCGCGCGCTCTCAAACGATGATGATGGCCTGTTCTTGATTTGAAATTGTAATTGGAATTGTGTTTCTTTGAAGTCGGTTTTCCCAGCTGCGCCGTTCGTGGTTGGCTTGTCAAATCGTCGAACAATCAAGGGGATTTAAAGTGGTCATTTTCCGGACGGTTAGGTCCCGCTGCACGTCTCTTGCTCTTCTTTGCTATGACGCTACAACAAGCATTTATCAAATATTAACAGTTGTTCCGTCGGGCATCGCACACACACACACGGTTTGTCTTGCCGAAAAATAAACGGCACTTTTTCACACATCGCTCATTCATTTGCTGTTCAACAGCTCCCGAAAATGAGCCCCGCTCAAACAAAACGACGAGTCTCTGCCAAAGGAAAATTGAAAATTCCAACGCCGCCTTAGACCTGCATCTATTAAACGAGCGTCGTATGAACGAACGAACGAACGAATAAAAAAAAACTATTTGAACTAATTAAATCACTGGAGCAATGAGTAGAAATCAAGTTTGATCGGAAAACAAGAAAGTAAAAAGAGATTTCCAAGGGGCACACTGACATATACACACACTTTCCGATGAAGAAACGCGTCGTTTTGCGGGGAAAATCGCGCACTTTTTGAGCTAAGAGGCCTGAAGAAAAAAACAAAGTAAACACATATAAGCAAAACTAGTTGCACCGAGCCGGGAGCAGGTTGTACCTGCTTTCTTCGAGACCGCTTAATAACTTATAAAAACTGAATCGAAACTCAAGAGCATGCAGAGTAGGCAGCGCGATAAAAAAAAACTATGCTAAGCCATTTGTTCCACCTCCTTTCGATTCGAGCGACGAGCAAGAAGCATGTGTACACACTGCACACGATTATCCGTCCATCCACCATGCGTCGATCACAGCGTCTAATTTCACCGATCCTCCTATGTTTCAACGACGACGCTCGAGAGTGGGCACAACAAGTGCACCGAACAACAACGACGCCGCTGACGACGACGACGACGGCGACGACGCTCGAGCAATCAAAGCGTGACTTACGCGAATGCGACTCGAAAGAAAGCCTATAAACGGCGAATCGAAGATCTTTTCTTCGGCTTGGCGCGCGGAACTATCAACAACACTGAACCTAGGTCCAACAACCGTACGCTTTCGAAGTTCAAGTTTAACTGACGACGGGGTGGTTGGCGCGGATCGCTCTGATGCGGCAGTTGGGTTGCTTTCTTTCCGTCGTTGCATCGCCGGGATCCAATGCTACAGACGCGCGGGGTGTGTGTTTGTGTGAGAGAGTTGATGGGAGCAGAAACGATCGCATGCAGCAGCAGGGATAGGAGAAATGAGTACGAACACAAATGAGCTCGGTAATGACTCTCGCGCGCAAGTGCTTTCGGCAGAGGGGGTAGGGTTGGTTTCAGTAAGAATTTGGTGATTGATTGATGTTCGCATTCTGCCTGAAGATCAATTAAATTTTGCACCATTTTGATGATTTCAGAGATTGAGGAATCCCCGTGAACCAATAATGCTTGAATGCCGTTTTGTTAGCTAGGTCGTGGAGCACTTTAGGAATTAGAAATATTTGCATCATTGACATAATTGGTCTTGTTTTCAAATCCACGCTTTTTTATTAGTATTTCGTAATTATGCAGCACTCTTTCCTAAGATTTTCTCTAAACATATTTTTCAAGTCCTCAACTGGATGCGTTCGGAATCTCTTAGTTATCGATTTCAGGTTTGTTTAATTATTACTACATTTTTAATTGATCAGTTTTCTGTGTAATTGCTCAAATTCGTGTTTTTTATTATGCTAACAGAACCCGTAAAAAAAAAGAACTATAAAGGTACAATGAAATGTATTGTAACCATACAATAGAATTTATTGTACTTAAAATAAATTGGACTGTCCACAACGATAAAGTAACCATAAAATTTATTGTTTCCACAATAGAATCTATGGATTATGGGGATATCTACAATAGAAAAATGGGGTTGTTATGTATCTTAACCATACAAAAAATCACTTTTTCCCGAACAAACTTGAGCCATTTTCCATTAATTTTATTGTTTTTCTATTGTTGAAAATTCATACTATATGATACGTATTGTAGATCTATTGTAATAACAATATTTTGAATTTACTTGTATGGTATACATAGAATAAGATCGATTGTTGGCAATAGATTTCGTTGTGATTTTATATTATTTTATGGTAATTGTATGGTTATTTTTTTTCAGGAATATCCTCGACGTAGGTTGGAAAACACTCCCACGGAAGGTCGTGAGCGTTCTTACAGGATATCGTTTAAATTACAGAAAACTGTTCTAGGCTTACCTTGAAAGTTTAGAGAACTTCGAAACCAGAGGTTCGTCTGAAGGATTTCTTGAGTAAGTCTGATGGTCACTGAAGACAGTGTATAACTGTAGTAAGGAAACTATGGGGTTGGGAGGCCTTTGAGATTAAATACAGAATATTATGTTAGGAAGACTTCGGGGGCAAACTTTCAGGGAAGGTTTGCCCGGAAAAAAATAACCATACAATTACCATAAAATAAAATACAATTACATAAACATCTATTGCCAACAATCGATCTTATTGTACGTATATTGTACAAGAAATTTCAACATATTGTTGTTACAATAGATTTACAATACGTCCCATTTAGTAAAAAAATTCAACAATAGAACAACAATATAATTAATGGTAAATGGCTCATCTTTGTTCGGGAAAAAGTAATTTTTCCTATGGTTAAGATACATAACAACCCCCTTGATCTATTGTAGATTTCCCAATTAACCATAGATTCTATTGTTAAAACAATACATGCCATGGTTATTTTATCGTTGTAGACAATATGATTTATTTTAAATACAATAAATTCTATTGTATGGTTACAATCCATTTCATTGTGCCTCTATGGTTCTTTTTTTTACGGGTGGGCATTTTTATTAAATAAATTCAAAGCTATTTGTGGTTGAATCCAATCTTCTGCAAACATGCCCGAATAAAAATTTTCCATACAAAAACAATAGAACCTATTGTTACAATACAATAAAACCTATTGTAGCAACAATAAATGTTATTGTCAAAATCAATAAAAAAATACAATAGAACTTATTGTTATGTACAGTATAATCTATTGTTAATGAGACATTTGCAATAGAAAAGGGGGGTTGTTAGTTACCGTAACCATAAAAAATCTTTTTTTTTTCGAACAAATTTGATCTCATTGCAATAAATTTTAATGTTTTTTTATTGTGCAAAATTTTGATTTCATATTGTAAGTGAAAGTAACCTCGGAATGGGCGTGATTCTCCAGACATTCTGAAATGGTTTGCTGGATCTGCAATAGAGCTATCACCTTCTAACTCCCGGACTAAAGCTGTCTACAATGACCATAAATGCAACATTGTAGAAAGAGTTCTTCCATAATAACACTGCCGGCAACTGGGGGTTAGATTGAAATTTTCGATTTCCGAAATTTTCCCTTGGGAGATTTTCGAGAGTGAAAAAAGTCAAACTTTGACGCGTTTGCGCCACCCCTAAATCATGTCCGATTGAGCTCAAATTTTGCATATGGTCATTTTTCGAGGCAATGAACATCTGGTTTGTTAGCGAAATTTGATGGTCAAATTTTTCCCATACATTCATTGGCAGTCTGTTACCCATTGAGTGTTGATTAATAGCAATACAAATTGTGACCGAGTGCGGACTTGAAGTTACTCGACTATTAAATAATTTAGGTCCTTTTAAGGATTATATATGAAAAATGCATGTTATTGGAACAAAATGCACATATTTGGCATCGCACACAAGTAACATTCTAAATGCTTGGAAGAGTTATTCTTATTTTATCGTTGTATTACGGTTTTGTGTGCTTGTCATAAAATCCAGTGGCGTAACTAGGGTAGGGCAGACAGGGCACTTGCCCTGGGCGCCGCAGTCGAGGGGCCGCCGCGGCGCCCCCTTGGCTGCGGAAATTTTTTGGGTACAAAACCATTTTGGGCGCAAAAAGCGATCACAAAAAAACCCACTCTAATGATATCTAGAAATTTTCGCAGTCGAGGGGGCGCCGCGGCGAATGACATTTGGGCGCGTAGCACGCCCACGGAAAACGAAAAGTGCGCCCGATGCGAATGAGCGGCGCCCGACGTTGCGGAAAGGTTCGTTTGGGCGGATTGCTCCCCCGCCGGGATCGCTGATCGGCGGATACTTAGTTTGTAAGGTCATAAAAAATTATCGCGAAAAAAACTAACTCATTTTTTCAGTATTCCATCGACTGTTCTCATAAATATTAACATGCTGATAATTATGACTGTCAATTGACAGTCCGCAATGCGCTGCAAGCGCGTAAGCTAACGAGATTTGTGATCCTATTCTTATAAGCAGTGCTGAGATTTGTCATTGTCATTGACAGACTTTTGCGCGATATTGACAAAATTGTTTTTCACATAGTCAATGATAGACTTGATCCTCAAAAAAATCTTTGTCAAAATCTCATTCATTTTTTCGTCAATGACAAAGATTCACCTGGTAACAGAAAGTGTAATTTCTTGCATTTCGAGACACATTATTGTTATCCAAGCGGTTCAGGACGTAGATGCTTATTAACCTTAATGGCTCCATGTAATTGTTTTGC